GATGGCTGCTCTTATTTACACTTCTATAACCTTCTACAGGAGAAATATTGTGTTAGAAAGATAGATAATTAGTTTATTGTCCTGTATATATATGGCACTTGACCCAAAAGGTGTGTATAGAGTTATAAAATGGCGTTAAATATGGGGTGGTATTCTAGTGTACCAATATGGCCGACAACCAAGATGGCCGCTCTTATTTAGAATTATATATGGGTTACAGAGACGAGATATGATGTCACTTATATTAAATTGTACTAGTTTATTGTGCACCTATGTCTGTATTTGTACATGTACTTGTTTATGTACTTGTTTATGTACTTGTTTCTGTACTTGTTTCTGTACTTGTATCTTAAAAAATAATTAATATAACTTAACCAATTCTTACGTGAAATCCTGAATCACCCGGACAGTCATTCAGACAGTTCTTCTTCATGAACTCCTATAGGAACCCACTGAGAGTCCTTCAGAGTCAACGGGGGGAGGCGTAGGATATCAATTTTTGTTCCCTACGATAATTTATATCAATCCTACGAACATCCTTTATGGGAATAGGATTTTGATTCAGTCTTTTAGGATAATTTTTTACGATATTTGGGATCCAACAGGAAATCCTATCGTCTTCTGAGGTTCTAAAAGGATTTAGGATATTTTTGGGGGTTTGTACAACAGTCCTTCCGATAGTAGGTATCCTGTAAGACTTTCCCCAGCTAGTTAGAGACCGTGGAAGGTGCTAGAAGCCGTTCACTTGTCTAGAGTCATCAAGAACGGATGTCTCAAACGGTTCTCAGACACTTAGACATTCACACACTCAAAGCTGAAGAACGTAACGCGGAACGTAACACTGACTGAACGTAACACTGACTGAACGTAACACTGACTGAACGTAACACTGACTGAACGTAACACTGACTGAACGTAACACTGACTGAACGTAACACTGACTAAACGTAACACTGACTGAACGTAACACTGACTGAACGTATCACTGACTGAACGTAACACTGACTGAACGTAACACTGACTGAACGTAACACTGACTGAACGTAACAATCCTTCCCCAATTATAACACATGTCCTCTCGGAGATTATCAGTATGGGTATCCTGGCAAGTCCTTAGGCGCTGAATCCTATTAAATGTTGTCACTGGTACACATATGGCAGGCATTAGTCCTTAGATACTGGGGAGATCTCATGAGGTTTCACAATGTCCTGCGAGGTCCTGCGAGGTACTACGAGGTCCTGCGAGGTACTACGAGGTCCTTCGGGTATCTATAGTCCTTGAAACGTATCCTTGGAATCTTGTAAAAGTCCTTTCCACTGAGAGAGAGAGTCCTACGATTTCTTGATCGTTATAGGACGTAACTGGAGAAATCCTTTTGAACACAGCAGTATGATCCTTGCATATCCTCTGGAACGTAGGACTTTAGGATCCTTTTTTAGAGATATCAGGAAGTAACACACTCAAAAGTCCTTCTCAACAAGTCCTTCCCCACTAGTCCCTCTCAAGAAGGCCCTCTCGCCAGCCCTCTCAACAAATCCCCCTCAAGTCCCTCTCAAGTCCCCCTCAAGTCCCCCTCAAGTCCCACACTCAAGTCCCACTCAACGTTCAGGAGTAATCAACAAGTGAACGAGGTGCCAATACAGACGACCACCACAACACAAATAAGTGAAGAACGAGAGGAAAACAAATGATCATCGAGGAGACAGGTGGAAGCTAACAAAATGGCTGACAACAACATGCCCTCTCTCTCTCTCTCTCAAGCTAATTGTTCTCTCACTGAGGCATTGTTTTAGAGAGAGAGAGAGAATAGCCCCCCCCCCCCTGAACAGCCCCCTAGGTGATCAGATAACCTCTCTGGATATAAAAGAATGGGTCTAAATACTCAAGATGTTATCATTGATATCATGATCACCACCGACGCCATTGAGGGGAGGAAGGCAGTATAGGGCTTCGCTCGCTTCTGATATCGTATATAATTTCTCCCCTTAAATAAGCTTTTAAATATCGTACTTATAGACGGTGGACATAAGGATGAATATATCTCTTTTTTCTCTCTCTCCGTCTATTTCTCTTGGACGGGGAATAGACAGAGAGACGGAAATATGAGAGAGAAAGAAAGAGGTGGAGTTTGTCACACACATATGCGGGTACAAGAGAGAGCTGGATCAATAGAGCACCTGTGTTCGCGCCAAAAACCTGCCTCTACCTCGCGCAGCCAATCACCACACGTCTCTCTTCCCGCCAAAAACCTGCCTCCACCTCGTGCAGCCAATCACCACCTGTGTCTCTTCCCGCCAAAAAACATCCTCCACCTCGCTCAGCCAATCATCACCTGTGTCTCTTCCCGCCAAAAACTAGACATTTCTCTCTTAGCCAATGAGCATCCAAGGGCCACCCACCACCATCGCGCGGGGGGAACCAATCAGGTGAAGGCTTCTGGTTCCACATTGACCAATTAGAACGCAGCAGTTGAGGTCCCGAGATCAATACCACGAAATCTTAGCGTTAATTCGTCTCTAATGCTGAAAATACCGTAAGATAACGACCAAATCTAATGAATAATAACGAAATAAACAAAACGAAGACCATAGCTACGTTAAAATGGCCGCCAAACATCGCTGAGACTCGATATAAACACAAATAAACACAGATACATTTATGTTTATTTAATCATCATAACACCTGTATAATTAGTGGTAATTAATTTATACCTGTTGATTATATACCCATAGAGAACAGGTGTTTACTGATTACTGAGAGATCATGTTTAAGTGTGTGTGTGTGTGTGTGTGTGTGTGTGTGTGTGGTATCGATTATGTATTAATGACTGTGTGTGTGTATGTCAAGTACCCGCATGATGTGCACGTATATAGTCATGTGTACGTATCTAATTTGGAACGCACATACATCAGACGTACACACACACACACAGGATCACTCTCTCTCACTCTCTCTCCTTTCCTCTCCTCTCCCTCACCCCCTCTCTCTCTCCCTCACCTCTCTCTCTCCTTCCCTCCCTCACTCTCCCCCTCCCCTCTCTCTCTCTCCCTCACTCTCTCTCTCTCTCTCTCTCTCCCTCTCTCCCTCTCTCTCTCCCCTCACTCTCTCTTCCTTCCCTCCCTCACCTCTCTCTCCCTCTCCCCTCTCTCTCTCCCTCACTCTCTCTCTCTCCCTCTCTCTCACTCTCCTTCCTCTCACTCCCTCACCCCTACGCCCGGTCAGTTAAGGCTTTGTTAAGGCAATTTAAAAGGGTCTGTGTGTGTGTGTGTGTGTGTGTGTGTGTGTGTGTGTGTGTGTGTGTGTGTGTGTGTGTGTGTGTGTGTGTGTGTGTGTGTGTGTGTGTGTGTGTGTGTGTGGTGTGTGTGTGTGTGTGTGTGGTGTGTGTGTGTGTGTGTGTGTGTGTGTGTGTGTGTGTGTGTGTGTGTGTGTGTGTGTGTGTGTGTGTGTGTGTGTGTGTGTGTGTGTGTGTGTGTGTGTGTGTGTGTGTGTGTGTGTACGCCACTCTCAACACTTGTTTTTCACTACAATTATTCGCCTCTTTATTTAAGGATTGTGTTACCCCTTTATCCGCCTCACACAATAGAGAGAGAGAGAGAGAGAGAGAGAGAGAGAGAGAGAGAGGAATTTGATATTTTTTTTTAATATGATAATTACTCACTTGAATAACGCACACGTGTCGGGATGTATACGCTTTATACGCCACATTTACGCACACGTGTACACCATGTCAGATTAACGAAAAATATGTACACATTTTACGTCTTATTAACAGACATGTGTGCACGTTATCATACGCCACTGTAATAAACGTCACATTAACGCACACGTGTACACCTTATCATAGGCCAGGATAACGCACACGTGTACATTCTTATCATAGGCCAGGATAACGCACACGTGTACACCTTATCATAGGCCTGGATAACGCACACGTGTACACCTTATACCCCAGGATAACGCACACGTGTACACCGCACACACGCCTGAGAAACGCATACGTGAACGCATTATACCCCCAGACAAACGCACACGTGTGTATGAACAAAGGCTTACATGCACCTGCTGAGGGTTGGCCCCGCAGACGGTCATGGGGGGGCAGTAGGGAGGGGGGGGAGGGAGGGAGGGAGGAGGAGGGAGGGGAGGGTTAGGTTAGGTTAGGTTACCATATCAGTTGTTGATTGAGTTTAATATTTTTTTTTAAGATTTTATGTCGAGGGAGGGGAGGTGTGGGAGGGGTGTGGGGAGGGGTGTGGGAGGGTGTGGGAGGGAGTGTGGGAGGGAGTGGGAGGGTGTGGGAGGTGGAGGGGAGTGTGGGGAGGGAGGGGAGGGGTGTGGGGAGGGGAGGGGGAGGGGTGGGGGAGGGAGGGGGGGAGGGGAGGGGGAGGGAGGGGGAGGGTGTGGGGGAGGGAGGTGTGGGAGGGGTGTGTGGGGAGGGGTGTGGGAGGGGTGTGTGGAGGGGAGTGGAGGGGTGTGGAGGGTGGAGGGGTGTGGAGGGATGTGTGGAGGAGGTGTGGAGGGGTGTGTGGAGGGATGTGGAGGTGTGGAGGGTGTGGAGGGATGTGGAGGTGTGGAGGGGTGTGGGAGGGAGGGGGGGAGGTGTGGGGAGGGGTGGGGAAGGGGTGTGGGAGGGAGGGGGAGGGGTGGGGGGAGGGGGGGGGGAGGGAGGGGGGGAGGGGGGGTGGGGAGGGGAGGGGGAGGGGTGGGGAGGGGTGGGGAGGGGTGGGGGAGGGGTGTGGGGAGGGGTGGGGAGGGGTGGGGAGGGGTGGGGGGGAGGGTGTGGGGAGGGGTGTGTGGGAGGGGTGGGGGAGGGGTGGGGGGAGGGGGGGGAGGGAGGGGGGAGGGGTGTGGGGGAGGGGTGTGGGGAGGGGTGTGTGGGAGGGGAGGTGGGGAGGGGGTGGGGGGTGTGGAGGGGTGTGGGAGGGGT